CTGATCTGGGTTCCAATTCCTCTTCAAAGAGTTTATTTATTTATTTGAGAGAGAGAATGGGAGAGAGAGAGAGAGCATGAGAGGGGGAGGGTCAGAGGGAGAAGTAGACTCCCCGCCGAGCAGGGAGCCCGATGCGGGACTCGATCCCGGGACTCCAGGATCATGACCTGAGCTGAAGGCAGTCGCCTAACCAACTGAGCCACCCAGGCGCCCCATGAGTTCCAATTCCTCTTCAGTTTGGGCCCTGGAGAATTCTGCTTACTTTCTCAAGAGCTCAGCTACATATCTAAAAAAAAGCTTATTTCTTATCCAGCCTCCTTTGGTGTTTCTAAGAAGGAGAATGGCTATCTAACCTACTGCTGAGAAGTTAAAGATCATTCAGATCTTAGACGGTAGATTCTTGAGTCAGTTAATTTAAAAGTCTTCCTGGGGTTCCTGGGTGGCTCGGGTCTGGGTCCAGGCTCTGCGCTCAGCAGGGAGTCTGAGGATTCTCTCTCCCTCTCCCCCTCCCCTGACTCGTGCACATGCACACTCTCTCTCAAATAAATAAATATTTTTTTTTTAAAGATTTTATTTATTTATTTGAGACAGAGAGAATGAGAGAGAGAGAGCACATGAGAGGGGGAGGGTCAGAGGGAGAAGCAGACTCCCCGCCGAGCAGGGAGCCCGACGCGGGACTCGATCCCGGGACTCCAGGATCATGACCTGAGCCGAAGGCAGTCGCTTAACCAACTGAGCCACCCAGGCGCCCCAATATTTTTTAAAAATAAAAAATAAAAATCTTCCTGGTGCAGAGGGACAAAAATTGCAGGGCCGCTTTTGGAGCAATGATGGCGGTCAGGGTCAGAGCAACGATAGCCCCGACACAGAGTCTGATCTTCCTTCCACTTGGGGTCCAGAAACTGCACCCGGTCACTTTATCCAGAGGTGACAGAGACGAGGGGACATGGTACCAATGTCATAGCTTACAGCCAGACCTGGAGCTGCCAAGGGGCTGGGCTTCGACATGTCACGGCTCAATTAGCCCAGCCTCAGAAGGGCCAGCCTGCCGGGGTTTGCTGCCGTGAGCAGTTTCACCGCCCGTCGTGGCTGCATGTGTGTAGCTGGTCACGGGGGTGGCCTGTTACGTGTGTGAGCACATGGCAGTGCCGCCAATGTGTATCTGCGTGTTGCCTTCATGTGTCGCCTGACACGCGTGCGTGTGCATTGCCTGTCATGGGTCCGTGTGTGGGTCTCATCCACGTGCCAGGAGCAGCGAGGGGGTGTGTGAAGTCTTCTAATGGGGAACTCACCTGCCACGAGGGGTGTGATCAGAAACCATGCTCCCCTCCCAAGTGGCTGCTCCCCGTTCCTGGGCCACCTTCCCATCTGTTCAACATCAGAGTCTTTGTCTAGCATCCAGATGGATGTTAGAAATGACTCTGGAGCGTGACAAATTGTAGGCCTATTCCTGCCCCCTCTCCACCTTGCCCAGCACACCCAGGGGTCCACACTCCTCTGAATAGCACCCAGTCCTGCATTCAGAGGCTTATTATCCAAGTGTCTGATTGCCCAGCTCTGACCAGAGTTTAGCTGGAATACTGCCAGGTGGATGTTGTCACATCTGCTGCCAGAGAACTTTCCACCCACATGCTGATGGGGAAATGGAAGGACAGTGCGGGCACGCACTGGGGCTACAGGTCACATGATGCAACCCTTTCTGGGTCTGCTAGTCAGTGAAAGTCTGAGGGATCAGGGAGGAAGCTTTTGGTTCTTCACTTGCCTGAGCATGCAAGCCACCTGGTAGGGAGGCTGGGGGAGGCGACCTGTGGCCCTGGCTATAGCTGTCGCCTTCCCTGTCCTCCATGATTGCAGGACCCCAGAATTTGCCAGACAACCTGGTAACTGGCTTATGTTGGTTTGCAGAGACCCGGGACTGGGGGGGGGGGGGCGGGGGCACTTCTCAGGAGTCACAGACCACAGATCTCACCTTCGCTAGTACTGGGCCCAGAAAGAATGCAGCCGGTCCTCTGGGCAAGGGGTACCCCAGGGTCCAGTGAGGGACTCACTATAGGTACACGATGGCTGACAGTCGTTGAGCGCTTTCTCTGTGCCAGCTCTCCACTAACCCAGGGGGTGCCCACCAATCTGAGTTCCTGGCACCCCTGGTGCTCAGTAATTTTCCACAGTGCTCCTCGGCTAAAAGAAATATCGAACAGGCAGCCCCCTCACACTCTCCGCTGCGGCCCCTGCAGGCCAACCCTAGGGGCTTGTGTCCCGGGGGGATGGGGGTGGCACTGGCAAAAACAAGCAGGGGTGGGGTGGGGGCGGGGCTTCCAGGGGGCGGCCCGATGGGCGGGGCTTAGGGGATCCTCCCCCTCAGCGGGGGGTCCAGGGGGGTCCGAAGTCAGTGGCCCAGCAGGTCAGCGGGCGCACATCCGGGGCGCTCCTTACCCCACAGACTGACACTTCCCAGTCGGATAATACAAAACCTCTTTATTTCTCATTTTCTATAAAAAGTCGTGCCCCTTGACGGACCGCGGGGATAGGATGTGCAAAGCGCGCGACACACCCTGCCGAGGCCCGTCGCGGAGAGCTGCGCTGGGTTGGGACTGGGGGGGGGGAGCTGCGGCAGGAGGACCCCGTTCCCTCTCCGACCTGGGCAGGGGTCGTGGAGAGTGGCCCCGGAGCGGGGGAGAGCCAGCTGTGCTGCGTCTCCAACCCTAGGCCGGGCCCAGGGGTCTTAAAGCTCCACACCGCGTAGGAGGGGCCGCGGGGCTGCGGGGCCGCTCCCGCGGGACATTCTGGAACCTGCGGTCCGGGGGGAAGGTCCTTCCTGAAGATGGCGGAGTCACAGCGCCCCCCGCCCCCCCCCGAGACGCGGTAAACCGAGGCCGGCGAGCAGGCTGGGCCCCTCACTGCTCCTCGGGCCCGTCGCCTCCCAGGGCCTGTTCGTAGGGGCAGGGCCGGCGGCAGAGGCCGGCT